CGTCGTAAATTGTCGGGAGATTACTAGATATAGGGTAGTCTGGTATATATAAGAGGGTGACAACGTGACGGAATAATAAGGTGTGTGTAGAGAGTGAGTAATTGTTCTGCAGTCAGAGAGTATTATTGAGCACGTTCGTTGTTATAACGTTTGTTTTAGCGCGATTGTTGAAATTAAGTGTATCGTAAAGTTATATTCGGAAAGAATAAACCAGTTTTATTAAGTAAGGACTTGTGTCGCTAAAGTTTCGTCGGAACGAATTTACGGAAAATCAATTAACGACTGGAGGCGTAACAATATTGTATTAACTACAAAAATATTTGAATATTCCTTTCAAATTCAAGGAAAAGGCCGGATTTTAACTTCAGAAGAATGGCCAACGAGTCTTCTTAAATAAATTTATCTATGTATTTTAGAACTCTTGAAATTGTCGAAAGAAGCTTTCCTATCGTTAAACTTCCTGGTGGAATAGAGGCACAATACTTTAAATCAAATTTGGTTATGATACTGATTAGACATCTTAACATTTGGTCAGATTTCTCATTTATTGCTTAAAAATAGTGAATATGTTTAAGAAAGTCTGTTCAAAGAAATAACGTGTTATTAATGAATTGAGTTAATTGATTATGCGTCATTGCAATAGGTTTGTTTGCTTTACTGTTGTTGTCTCTAATATTATTCAGTTAAAGTAAGAATACAAGGATGCATCGAGACAAAAAAAAAAGTTTTTCAAGTGCTAGTTGAATAGACGATTGGAAGTGAATTTTATGTAATTAACTTCCATATATACATATGTGTGTGTGTGTGATTGAATGAGTGAAAATAACCACTACGGCAATGTACGGGATACTATAAGATTATGTAATTTTCTACAATTGTGATAAACATACACATAGTGTAATAATGTATTAATTCTACGTGTTTTCTTCCTTTAATCTGTAGGGCTAAATTTTCCATGCTTCACGGGATTTTCAACGAGTTTAGAAACTGGGACAGTGCAACCATACAATCAAGACTTCGCCTAGTCCTGAGCGTTATTCTTGTGCTGGCTGGAGTGGTTAGTATCCTAGTAACGCTCATACCAGGTCAAGCTACGGCATCTCTTTCTCCATCCAGAAAATTCCTCTAAGTTTTAACTTTTCAAAACATTTTCCACAATCAGTAGGGCATGTACCCCCCCCCCTTTCCGGTATTCGTAAGCCCATATCTTTCCGACACATTCACATACGAGTTTCTCTACGACTTCGCTCATTAGCTGTTTGAAATGTCAAAAAACGCTTGCGAAACTATCATACATTTCCCCAAGCTGGCGTTTTAAGAGAATCAATGTTATTAGTTTTTGTTGTAAAGAGGGGTATGTTATATTTATTATATTATTTCCGGGTATCGGTATAAATTTTTCAACTACTAAGAAAGGTAAGTTAAATAGCCCATTTTAATCAGTTTAAAAGTACTCACATTTTTAATACTTTTATTTGAATACATTTTATTCTTTATTTTCCGTTAAAACTTTTATAATAATACTGCTGTTATTTGAGATTATTGTGTCAAAGTGACATTCTATAATGATTATTTTATTAAGGATTATATTAATTCGTTTTGGTTTAAACTGTTTTAGTTTATTTTGAATTGCAGTTGTCATGTTTGTTAATAATCTTGGTTTATTTTAATTTTTATGGTGTTCTGAAGAAGGCTGTGTCTTGAAATCACAGATTTTTCTAGCCTCGTTTATTTACACCCAACACTCATGAGATTTATTTGTGTAATATTTCATCTTTTCTTCATAATACTCTTAATATATACAGTAAACTAGGCATCACTTAATGTCATTTCTGTAAATAATTATTTTCCATTTTCCTGTAATAAATAAGAGTGAATTACATCGGTTATGTAATCACATAGTTACCAAATTGTATATTCGCAATGAAGTTTAATAATGGCAAAACGTATACCATTTAGTTTGTCTTATTTTCTGACAAATATTATTTCAAAGTCTAGGTGACAAGTTACGGGTTAGTAATTAATTAAAAGGACCAATAACTGCAAAAATTGTCACCTTTATGAAGCCCAGCTATGTTTAATAGTTAACTAGTAGCTTCGGCATTGATAACTGTAGATAAGATGGATCTTATAGTGGTCAATACTTTTGTAGTTAATAAGAACCAATATTAACCACAGATAGTTGCTGAATCAATGACGTCATCCATCTTGCACTTGCTTGTATTGAATTTCGCGCGAAGCTACACGAAGGCTATCTGCGTTAGCCGTCCCAAACTTAGCAGTGTAAGACAAGAGGGAAGGCAGCTAGTCATCGTCACACACCGCCAACTCTTGAGCTACTCTTTTACCAACGAATAGTGGGATTGGCCGTCACCCATGGTAGCTTTGCCATAAATGCAAATACTCAGAAAATCTGAATTAAATGCAACTGTAAGGCCCGGCATGGCCAGGTAGTTAGGGCGCTCGACTCGCAATCTGAGGGTCGCGGGTTCGAGTCCCCGTCACACCAAACATGCTCGCCCTTTCAGTCGTTGGGGCGATATAATTCGCTTTTGAATTTACTAATGTTTTCCATTTGTACTTCTTGCCACTGTTGTTGTCTCTCTTCTTGTTTATTTTCCTGTTCGAGCTGCCACTGTTGCAAGTTTTCTTGTCACTGGTGTAATCTCTCTTCTTGTTTATTTTTCTGTTCGAGCTGCCACTGTTGCAGGTTTTCTTGCAACTGCTGTAATCTATCTTCTTGTTTCTTTTCTTTTTCCTCTAACAACTGCTGTAATGTCTCTTCTTGTTTCTTTTGCTGTTCTTGTATTGCTGCCATCAAATCTGCTAAGCTGTAGTTTGATTTGCCGCTTCTCGTTTCCATTTTGTTTATTATCCTACTCTCTGACATCAATTTGTTACGCCTCCAGTCTTTAGTTGATTTTCCGTAACTTCGTTCCGACGAAACTTTAGCGACACAAGTCCTTTCTTAATAAAACTGGTTTATTCTTTCCGAATACAACTTTACGATACACTTAATTTCAACAGTTAAAATGTGTTAAAAATGTGCTTGGGAAACTTTTGACTACATGTTTTAACACGTCTCTCATCATTTCATTATTGGAACATATTATTTTTTCTTAACCCACTGCATACTTTAATCACGAGTCGTTTTGTTTTTTCTTGAATTTCGCGTAAAGCTACTCGAGAGCTAACTGGCTCTAATTTAGCACTGGTAGAGTAGAAGGAAGACACCTAGTCAATACCACCAAACTCTTGGGTTACTCTTTCGGCAAAAATAGTTGGTTTGATCGTCACATTATAACGCCTCTACGGCTGAAAGGGCGAGCAGATTCGAACCTGTGACACGTAGAATGCTGCGAGTCAGGGGCCCTAACCACCAGGCTATGTTAGGCCTCACAACAGTTCAACAATGCTTTTGAAAACCAAACAATAACATGGACTAATGAGACCCACTACCACCAGGGGTGAAATTGAAATTCTGAGAGAAAAAAAAAAGCCCCGGTACTCGTATTCGCATACAACAAATGAGTCTACTAAATTACAATTTTCGTAATTGTAAATTGATTTGTTTTTTTTTCTTTATAATCCGTCGAATGTCAAAACGACATTATAAACGCCAATATCAGCCAATGCGTTATTTGCATATATTTACTGTTATTGACCAATCAGATGAGACTACCAATTGATTTAATAATTGATATCGAAGCTTCTATGTAACATGAACAACAAGAATTAATGTCGTTAGGTAATCTTCTACTTCATTTGATGAATATACAGTATATGTAATGACTGCGAATCGTAACGTGTCTGCTTTCTGACAGTACGGTAGAAGATAAGCGTATTGGACGAAAAATAGATCAAACAAGTCTCGGTATTGAATACCGCCTGAATTCGTATTGTGCAACATTTTAATTTGTTCTTTATTCTCTGCAGTGATGCTATATCCAAAACAATATAATACCTAATAACTTATGCCAATATCTCCTTAGATAAGTTCCTCTCTGACACCACAGACTAGTTTCGTCACACACTTCTAGTTTATAAAAGGTCACAATGATTTCACTATACAAAAGTTTAGGGTTGTATTTTAGAAACAAATATATGAAAATGTCACTACATGATAGAACTTACATTAATTTTCAAACTCACTAAATGTAAGTATCTACAAAATTTACTTTTGGTTGAATATCAAAAAACGACACGGGTTTCATTGTCTTTAAATCTTTAGTGGCTAACCAATAGTATATTTAAAACTTTAGCAGATTCTTTACACATTTTCACTGCATTGTTTAAATTCTTATTATCATCATTTTGATTTCAACAAAACTACATTAATATATTAAATACCAAAAATATTAAAAGCAACAATAATTACTTTATCTACATTTTTGGATGAACAATCTTATTCATGGTATTTTCCTACTACAATCCTATTTTATATAGTTGTTAAAATCATTCAACTATTTTATATAATTTTGCATACCATATGTGATGTGTGTTAAAATAAATTTGGTTAGATTTCAATGTTAACATACAAAAAAATCTGTTTATTATTATTAATGAAAGCTAGAAAAAGCCTATTTAAAAGTTTACATTTAAATGTTTTTTTAAATGGCTTTTAGTAAAAAATTATAAAGCAATTCAAAACAAAATTCGTTTTACATCTCTAAGCTAAAAATGTAGCATTCATTTAGGTTACAGATGTTTAGGTGAATGTTAATCAAACACACAAAAACAAATTAAGTTTTTAACATTAGCATTTACCACAGTAATAAGCACCTAGATAAGTTTACATCAGAGCTGCTTTGATAAAGTTTCTGGATTTATGTAAACCTTTATACTCTTTCAATCCGAAAATCTGAGGCAACTCAGCTTTCCACATAAATCAAGCACTCAAGTTTCATATCTTGGCAGAGTAAATTGAGAAATGAAAACATACATGTTCATATTAGTTAACAAACCCTACACATCATGAACAGCTGAAAAACTCTAGTCGACAATGCTTGAAATCATAGTTTTTAGGTGGTCATGATAACTTTTTGTTCTCTAATGTCAGCTGTCTAATTTTCCAGTAAAAGTAATGAAAAACATTCACACTCCTCCTCAATTAAACACATATCTCCCCATCCAGACAAGAGCATTTTTATATGATGTTTAAGGGTTATACCACATAAACTAACTATACACTTCATAACTGTTTTGAAGTTATTTCATTGTTAATATAGTAAAAGGCACAGTAAAAATAGGATATAAATTTACATGAAAGATACATGATGAAAGTTAAAGGGTAATGAAAACCTACATTATTTATTCAGTTCAAACATTTATTCTATATTAAATATTTTCATACATCTGAACAAAATACATTTAACAATCATAGAGAATAACTAAAAAAGTTTTACTTGAAGAAAAAATACCTTACTAGCTTTAGAAAAGATAACATGTACATCATTTAAAATTTACACCAAACTTATACAACATAAATATTTAAATAAACATACATATAAGATAAATTATTTCACCTTTTGACACAGGTGTGTTATATGTAAGTAATACTTATAATACATGGTATAAATTAGTGGCTTAGAAATTATTTAAGACAGAAGTTATCATACACATTTGAAATATTAATGTAATAAAATGTATGTGTTATAAATGTTTCTTCTAATCTGAAGAAAATTTTACCAACTACATTACTGTGCTAAAGAAAAAAAAATATCACTCAATAATTATATTCAAAATGCTAAAAAGAAATATTTATACATTCTTTTTCACAGACAAAAACCAGATTGCAGCTTCCAGTTTCTTTCAAGAAAACTTTTTAAGTAACTCAAAAGTTCCCAGTAAGTCAAAGGCCTTAAACTGTGTCATCTGATGAACAAAACTCATACACTTCACAACTCCACTTTTGATGAAATGTTTATTCATGCTACAAAATTTCTTTCTAATGATCAAAATATTTTTTTAAATTATTACAAACTATGTACCATGACATCCAAGGTCAGTTATTTTTACTGTTACATTAATTTTAAAATAATCTGACTAACATTTTTTTTTAAGCCTGGCTGACGTTTAACCTTTTCTTAATCTGGATCATATTCTTCCATCAGTATACGTTTCTCTTTCATGAACAGTAACATGATACACCATAATCCTTGTTTTTTGGAGACTATCATTAAAAAATTTTATAACACGAAAAAAAACAACTAAAATTATTGTATGCATAAAAAAAGAATTACGTAAAATTTTATCTGAACAACTTTCATCGAGAGTTCTCTCATAAACATTTCTTTATATTTTCAGATCTTATCTTGTTGTAGTTGCATTTCTATCTTACTTGATTTATATTTATGTACTGAGTATAACACAGTATTTGTTTCTGTGGTTCTTCGAGGCTGTTTAATAAACCAAATGTCGTCTTTTGCTAATTTAAGAATGCAAGCAGTCAGGTAAAATTATGGTTTCCAAAATGAAAGATATAATATATATACATATCATACGAATACAATTTTCAACTCGCACGACCTTTGCTTTCGAACACCAAGGTCATATATTGAACAGAAAAAATAATCCTACAGCCTGGCCTTCAATGCATTTTGCTATTATCTCACATATTTTTCACAATTTACATAGGCTTGATATTCAGAAGATATAATTTAGTTGGTAATGAGAAAACACAAATCCAAATTTGAAATACATACAATTTCAACTGCTAATACCTTTTCATTTTTGAAACATTGATATTTTACAAAATCTTCATACAAAATATTTCATTTTCTGTTGTGATTATGACATTGTATCCGTTTCTTTAAAAGGCTAAGGATAACCATTCTTCTCCACACTCACTCATAGTCATTAAGAAGTTAGTACTAAAACACAATATTGGGTAGTTATAACTAACAGAACCTCAACTAGCATGGCGAAAAATAAATAAATTTATAAAACCTACATCAATAACTATTTAACATGCAGTTGTGTAACAATTAGTGAATAAACATTTAGGGTTCCATTAATAATAACAAAACACTAAAACTACTGGAATAACAATCACAACAAACTGAGATAAAAGATGAAATAAACCTCATTAATTTAGCAGCTGAAATGACACAAACCTTGGATAATTACAAATATACAAACAGTCAGTTGATATGTTTAGTGATTATATATACCAACAGGTATCAGCTGCATTTATGTACATGTGTTTATTACACTAAAACAAAAGTGCTCAAACATTTCTACAACCTGCACTTTTTAAGCTACCATGAGGTATAAAGATCAAGCTAATTTATATGAAGATCAAAATGCTCCAAGTTGGTAGCCAACAGTTGACTTGTGACAGTGAAATAAAGAATATGTCCTTAGTTTCCTACTTCAAAATCAAAGTATTAAACTAATATGTTACACATAAATGATACTCATATGAAAACGATTGAGTCCTTATAAAAAGCCTTTGTACAGCTTTGACCTTTCACTTTAAAAACCACAAATAATTGGCTTTAGGTACTGTGATCTTAATAGAAGCACTAATAATAACTCGCATACCATTTATGCTTCAAAAAATTTTGTTCATGTTAGTCTTATGAACATTTTTCAAATCAATTTACATCACTTTACAGAAATGAAGACTTATTCAAACTAGGATATGTAAACTTAGTTAACACAAACATAAGATGTTAAAGTGTATATAAAACATAGTGTTTAACTGACAAGTATCCTATTCTAAGCCTACTTTAATATAAAGTTTCTTTTCTGCAAAACACATTCACATTTAATATGTCAATTTCAAAATAGCTATGAACAAAGCTATCGTAACTGCATAAACAAAGAAATTTCTAAAATAATGTATTTAATACATCTTAATGTTTTGTATTTGCAGAAACAGGATGCATAAATTATTGCAACATTCACTGCCTATGCTCATCAGTCACATTGCATGACATACTCAGGAAAATATGCATAAGTTATTACAAGAATCTATGTGTAACACAAGTTAGAAGTGAGGTATTTTATGAGCAACTGCTAAGTGTGTGAGAGAGAGCTAACTTTACAATAGAAAATCTTACAATTGCTATTTTTGTAATAAATACTTAAGATACATTTATAAATAAAATCTTCACCATTATTCATACCTTTTGTAATAAATAAGTGTGTGAGAGAGAGCTAACTTTACAATAGAAAATCTTACAATTGCTATTTTTGTAATAAATACTTAAGATACATTTATAAATAAAATCTTCACCATTATTCATACCTTTTGTAATAAATTGTATAAACACAATTATGGAAACCATTAATAACAGTTCTCAATTTCACTATAAAAATTTCTTTAAGACAAAATACCTACAAAACTTCACTTCTTGTACATTACTGGAAGACGTCAAGCCAGTCCACACTGCGTCAAATGCAAGCTCTCAGAGACAGAATAAATATCAAACAAACATCTTTACACAATGATTTTAAACTATAAAAATTTATAGGAAACAAACAAAAAAAGGCCTTTGGTATTAATTCTTGGACTTAGTCTTCATATCTATTCAAAAAATTACTCATAAAAAAAGTGTGCGTATTAAAATGTAATTCATCCTACTTGTCTAAAGTAACACAAGATCAACATGTGTACATGCAATTTTCATCATTATTATTTGACTAGAATAATTTAACATTACAAACTACCAAAAAAGTATTTCAGGTAAAATATGAAATAAAAATAAAGCGATGTAATTTCTAAAACAAAAGAAATTATTCTTATATCTTTATCAAGCTTGTTCAGTAACTACAAATCAGTTTTCTTTAGACTAAATGTCAGTGGTTAAGAAGCTGAACATAATTAGCAGGAAACAGCCCAATCTGACCTCTGCACTCTCCTTGCCACCAGCCTTCATCAATCTACATGAAAATAAAGTAAAAAAAGGTTATCTTCATGTAATTATCACTTTTAAACTAAGAAAACATACACAATTTGTACATCAAAACATGAAAAAAAGCACTATAAACTTACAAGTTAAGTAGAATCATTATCAAATCAAACTATTCTTGAAAAACTGTATTCACAATGTGTATCCATTATCTACAGTATTCATATGACTTAGAAAGTATGGTGAAACCTACATTTTACATGGAATTAGACAGCAATGGCAAATCAAAAGCCAAAAACAAACAACACTATTCCAAAATTTCATATTTTTATCAATGATTGTACTGAAAATGTGGACAAAAAATCTATAAAAATTTTAACATATGATTCATCTTTAAAATTTGTGAAGTTTAGAGGTAGAAGGCTCCAAAAACTTGCATCAAATACTGCTTTTATTACCATTTTGTTTTCTTGTTAAAATATATCATGTATAGCACTATAACATACAAGTTATGTCATTAAACTAGAATTCACCTTGGGACAAAAAATATAGATATCTAAAAATACTTTATTTCAAGTGCTCATTTTCTCTTTTTCTTTATTAAGTTAAAGACTTCTGAAAGTTTAATATGTCAAATTTTTAATTACATTGTAAACAGCTTCAAATTTAAACCTTTAACATTTTTAAGCCTAAAAGAACAAATTAAACTTACCATATCTATGTTAGTGATTATATCATCAGGGTCAAAAGATATTTCATCAATATCAGCTACAAAATAAAATAACATTCCCTACATGATATGAATTACTTGATTAAAAGAGATGCATTTACAAAGATCATGATCTGAAACAGGTAGACACAGACTAGATATTTATATACAAGAAAAAGATATCTATAGTATGAACAAATGTTAAATACTTCCATAACTGGAAGTTTATACTTTCAAATATTCTCAATTTTTCACACCTTGAACAACTTTTAGGCATGGAATTTTTTATAATATATAGTTTCTTCAAATACAACTGGACAGAGTAAAGTTATGTAGTGTTTATCAACCTTTTAAGTTTATTAATATTGTCTGTCACTTCAAATTTCTACAAATCCTACAGGTACACAACCTAAGACATTGTTTCAATTTTTCAGAAGTTTTCAGTATAAAGATTTGTTCTCTAGTTTCTAACTTCTAATGCAACAATGTTAATGCAACAATTTTAAAAAATAAGTTTTGTGGAGTATGAGAAAACTGGGTTATAATTACCAGCTTGGTAGTCATACAAAGCAACAGCAGAAACTCCAGTGTTATCTGGCATTTCAAAAAACCGTTCAACTTCTTCAGTAGATAAAATACCAGACATCTCAACCAACTGTCGACTTTCTTCTGAAAGTTGAGCATTAGGAAGGTCAGTATACTGTAGAACTTCTTCAGTAGCCTGATCATAAGGCATTTTCTTGAACTGTTGAACATTTTCTGTAGGTTGAATATTAGATATTTCTACAAACTGTCTATCCTGTTTTTTCAGTTGAAGAGTTCCCCAGTGCACTACAGTTAATTAAGTTGATTAAGTGAAGTGCTAGAAGTTTCAAAATTTATTATTATCATATATACTTTAAGTTGTTGATATATTAGAGTAATGAAATGGTTAACACAACAGTGATAGTTCTTATAATTTTCCAAATAAAAAATATAGAATTTAGTAGCAGATATTCATAAGTATGATAATTAATGAACATTACTCATCACAAAAATATAGTGCAGAAGAAGTCAAAGCAGAAATGCAGCATACTATAGAATATTATCAACTGAGGTGAAAATATTTCAGTGTTCCATAAGCAATATTCATAATTTGTTTCTTAAACAATTATTTTTAGTTCCTACCCAAACAAGCAAATAAGTTTAAAAAAGTGATTGAAAATTATTTTCCCTTTACTTTAAATTATCTTTACACTTTCAGTAATCTCAGCTAAAAACTGAATACTCTTAACTTAGCATGCATAAAGATTTTATTATATATATATATATATATATATATATATATACTACACACACACACACTATATCAGTATACTTACTAAATAAAAAGTAATAACTAACTTACACTACAACTAAAGTTATATAATATAATAGTACTGTATAA